TAGATTTGTCTTGATTGTCACAGTTAGACCTGTCCGATTTTTTTCAAGTTGTGACACTGATTTTTTTTCCTGAAATGTACTGCCCTAAGTTTCTTTTGTTCCCTGTGCAATTTTCTGTTGTTGTTAGCATATTCTGTAACATGCTTTACAAAATGGGCAAATCTTTAAACGATTTTTAACTTACAACAATATAAGTTGGCACAGGGAACCAAAGAAACTTAGAACAGTATATTTCATAAGCCAAAACATGCTTTTGGGAGCCCCTGGTGGAGCAGCAGGTTAAACCACTGAGCTGCTAAACTTGCTGACTGAAAGATCAGTGGTTCAAATCCGGGGAAGAGGGTGAGCTCCTACTGTTAGCCCCAGCCTCTGACAACCTAGCAGTTCAAAAACATGCAAATGTAAGTAGATCAATAGGTACTCCTTTGGCAGGAAGGTAACAGCACGCCGTGCAGTCATGCCAACCACATGACCTTGGAGGTGTCTACGGACAATGCCCAGCTCTTCAGCTTAGAAATTGAAATGAGTGCCAAACCTCAGAGTCAGACACAACTAGACTTAATGTCAAGGGAAAACGTGATCTTTTTAACATACTTTACAGTAACATGTCCTTTGAAATTTAAAGAGAAAGCTCAACATAATCTAAAAAATGGAATAAAAACATCTTTCTGAGACTTAAGCATACAATTATTAATTTTTATAGTAGTTGGAGTGTTCACATTAATTTGTCACTACATGTGCTATTTAAACATGTCTCGTAGCAAAAACAGCAGACAAGGATATTTTCTTTTGTTTTGCACAATGTACAATTGATTCATTGTTCCTTTCTCAACTTGAAGGAAGGTGTGGGGAGTTACAAAGCAAATGTCAGATACTTTTCCACTGTCTGACATTCAATACTAACTTTGAGGCCATAGGAAGGTTCATTAGGTGTGGCTTTTCTTATTCTTGAGAGGCAGTGATGGCACAGACTAATCTAGTGCATTTCTTCTTGTCATGCAACAGTTACCACCTGGTTGGAAATGGTTCAGGCCACCTGCTGGAAATGCATATGCCCAGCCACCCCTACTATCAAAAGACTCAAAATGGATATAATGTTTTTCTTCGTCTCTCTCCCAGATCCCTTATGTGTCATGTCTTAAATCTAGGTTAAATTTAGGTTGTAAATGGTGGACAGAGAGTTATTCTAATAATCTTCAGAAACAGCTCTGAGTGTCTTTTTGCTAGAAAAAAGTGTGACTATGCTTGTAGTGTTGTCGACGGCTTTCATGGTCAGAATCACTGGGTTGCTGTGAGTTTTCCGGGCTATGATTGTAGTGATGCTAGTAGTAATAGTAAGATAAGGTGGAAGAGGTAGCTCAGCCTTTTCTGGGGATAAGGATAGATTGATTGTCGTGGAAGGCAAAATGTAGGATGATGCACAGTACCCCTGTATCCACCCAGTAGGGATACATTCTTAGTAGGCATGGGCAATCCATGGTTCTGAATGTTCTAAAATACTTACAAAGTAGGGGGTGCTGGTATTTTGCTTCTAAAGTGTTGCTAAAGTTCTGGTGCTGAAAATTTCAGAACTCTAGCAAAACTTTCAAAATTTCGTTATAGATGGCAGCTCTTAATTGGTTCTGTCACAAAAATCATTATTAAAGTAATAATGAAATTTTGAAAGTTTTGTTAGAGTTCTAAAATTTTCACCATCAGAATTTTAGCAACACTTTAGAAACAAAGCACCAGCGCCCTCTAGTTTTGTAAGTACTTTAGAAGCATTTAGAACCATGGATTGCCCATGCCTAATTCCTAGACACACTCAACCACAAACCCTACACTTATACTTAGCCTGAAAGCATATCATGGACATAGAGAGGCCCATATTTTGGGGGGGAGCGGGGCATATTTTCTGAGTGAAATTGTAGATATCAAATCCAAGGGAGTAGTATTGTGCTATATTTCCACTTGTGCTAATATTACAGTGGAAGGAGGAACTTGTATGCTAATTTTGAATGAATTATTCTCTGTATTATGTAATTCTGTTGTTGTCCAGATGTCACTGTATGTGTGCAAGAAGGGTTTTTTCAGCAGGCTTGAGGGAATTGAGTTTTGTGGAAATTAAAAAATTGACATCTGCATGATCATTGAATTTGCTCAGAGGGGCAGAAAACCTGAATGAGAGACAATGAATACAGAGTTGTGTAGAGAAAGGATAGCAAACTGATACTGCCTTGAGCCTGTTTTTGTGAGAAGGCAAAGCAGTACGTATTTGTGTTCATAGATAGATAGATAGATGTATATGTGTTTGTTTTGTGTGTGTGTGTGTGTGTTGCAGTGCCACTTGTCAGACCAGTTTATCACATAACCTTTGCAGCCAACTCCCAATATTAACGTGTTTATTTCTTGACCACATGTGGCGTGGCATCTCCAGTGACCAAACCAAGTTTTCTAGAAGCATTGCTGAGGAAGATAGAAACTAGACTTGCCATGAGCTTTTCCTTCTACTTTGGAAATACTTTGGTAGACTTTAGAACTATTTGCTCATGTTCCAGGCTGGCAGAGGAAAATGGCATTTATGTGTACTTGCTCATCATTTTGTTCTTGGGAGCAAATGTTTGTCACAGTTATTTTCACAGTTATTTCCAAAGTGAACATTAATATTAATAATAATAATAATAATAATAATAATAATAATTGCACTTCCATACAGCTTTTCTCACCCCAAGGGGGACTTAAAGCAGTTCCCAACATAATCAATGGCAAAATTCAGTGCCTTACACGTATAAAATAACATGTATCAAAACAGCAACAATTACAATAGATTAAAAGCATACCAATTATACAATTATAAAACAAGAGTCACATGCAATACATAAAACATTTAAGCCTTGCACAATCCCAAGGATATCTTTAACTACTTCCATATTTCCATATTTCTGTCATTTACCAAATGCCTTCTTAAATAACCTGGTCTTAAGTTGTTCCCTAAAAGTTAGGATTGAGGGGGCCAATCTGATCTCCCTGGGGAGGGGGTTCCACAGTCGAGGGGCCCCCACCAAGAAGGCTCTGTCCCTTGTCCCTGCCAGGAGGTTCATTCCAGTACCAAGCATGTCTTTAATAGGCATTCAGAAAGGTGTGTATTAAAGTACATCTTTCCTTCACCTGGGATTCTCCAGATAAGTTGGGACAACAGCTTGGGGTGGTGAGAGGTGTGGGCAATGTTGGTCTAATACAGTTGTTCTCAGCCTTCAGCCATCCAGATGTTTTGGGCTTCTGCTCCTGAAGCCCAACTCAACATTGCTAATAGGTAGGATTTCTGGGAGAACCAAGTCCCAAACATCTGGAGGGGCAGAGGTTGAGAACCAGTACTCCGATACGTCTTCTGAGCTGTTGGGAGCAGGGAGAAGAGGAAAGGTTCCACCTATGGAAAACATTCATTCCCATATCTATGGACTGGGATGAAACATCAGTCTTCAAGGTACTTGCTACACCAGTGGTTCCCCCAACCTTTGGTCTTCCAGAGTTGGATTATTTTGCAAATATTTAATATACAGAAGACTTCAGCCACTTGACTTAGCAATACCAAGCCATATACTTAGGTAATCTCCCTAGAAAGGCATTGCATAAAAGCAAAGTGCTTTGAAGAAAGCCAAAGATACGCACAGTGGCAGTAGGAGCAAAGGTACACAAAAATGGCACAAGTAGAGTCTGAAAGCTTTTGTGTCAACTACTGAGCACACAGTCACCCCCATCTAAAAGCATGCATGGCAATAATAACTCAGGAACACAAGAATAAGGTTACAAAAATAGCTTACTCACGAAACTTGCATGAAGGAATATCATACAGGCAAAAATCCTTGGTTGCGGGTATAAATCCAAATACAGCAAATAAAATACATGAGGCCTAAGGTGAAGAAAGAAGGCCCCACATAGCATGCAAATTACATTCCTCAGAATTTAGAGTCTGGTTCAGGTGTTTTGGACTTCAACTCTCAGAAATCCCTGCCAGTTTACCAGCTATTAGGAATTCTGGGAGCTGAAGTCCAAAAACACCTAGAGATCCAAAGGTTGGGAACCTTTGTGCTACACAGTCCCTCTTTCCCAAGAAGTCAAGAAGGTGTATGAAGTCAAGCAGGTACATTCACTAGAATGTACTTCAAGGGAAATACTGGTTATGCGTTTTTGGGACTTCATATAGTTCGCCCTTCATATCCATGAATTCTGTATCATGGATCCAACAAACAACACTTGAAAATATATATTTAAAGTCCAAAAAGCAAACATTTATACTGCCCCATTTTATGTGAGATACAATATTTTATATATAATGGGACTTGATTGTTCACCAATTTTGGTATGGAAGCAACATCCCCGAGCCAAACGTATCTCACCTTGCAAACCATCTAGGACTCTTTAAGATCTTCTGGGGAGGCCCTTCTCTTGGTCCCTCCTCCCTCGCAGATATGGTTGGCGGGGACGATAGACAGGGTCTGCTCATTGGTGGCCCCTCGGCTGGCTGTGGAAAGCCCTTCCCATGGATATAAGATTGACCCCTCCCTCTTAACATTCCACAAAAAGGTTAAAACCTGGCTCTTCAAGCAAGCTTTTGCTAATACAGCATAATTAGATAAATATGAAATTTGGAACAATTTGAAGATGCTATTGGATCACGATTTTAGTAAGGAGACGCCTATCACTATGTTTTTTATTTGTTTGTATGGTTTTTATTCTTTATGCTAAATGTTTAATTGAATTTTATATTTGTTTTAACTGGACTTTTATAATGTTGAGGCATCAAAATGTTGCCAGCTGTGAACCTCCTTGAGTCACCTACGGGCTGAGAAAGGCGGTATATAAATGTGGGAAATAAATAAATACCAAGGGCCCACTAGAGATGAGTGTGCAGGCTGGCGGGGTGAGATGACTGCAGGCTGTTGCTGATCTAGATCACTTAACTTGCTGTTCCCTTTTTCCCTCCCTCTTCTTCTCCTTTCCTTTATTTGTTGCCTCCTCAGTATTTTCACCACCCAGTAGTCAGGATTCTGGCTTGGTTTCCCTTTCCAGCAGTTCTCCCATCAACACTGAAGGCACCAAATCTGTCTTGGATTGTGAGTCAACCTCTGATTCCAGCACCTTCCCTGTTCATCCTGTCATTGAAGATGGTGAATAAGCAACATTGAAGGAAGTCCTGCTGGCTGCCTGGAAGAAGTGCCTTCATATTCAGCTGTGTTTATTTGTTCTGTGGCGACTAACACTGATGAAAATGTTGAATTATTCCCTTTATGTTTGTTTGACTAACATTTACCAGCAGAAAGGTTAGTTTAAGGAACAGAGTAAACAAAAGTGGGAGCTGTGACTATTTTTTTTTAAAGTATATTTTCCATTAAAGGGCCAAGAAATGAGATTGCTGGATGTAATCTTAGTACAAGATTTAGAACAGATAAAATTGTAATCAAAGCTAAATAAACAGATAAGGGCTCTTAAATATCCAAATCATACAGCTCCTGGAACACAAAGCGGTTTTGTTAAATCTTTTAGCTGCGTTCGAAAGCAAGATAATGTTTTATAAAATGTTCGTTGTGATTACAATTTTTAAAATTGGCATTGGAGGCTTATAACTTCTAGTGACAAGACAGAATTGTTTGTGGGTTTTTTTAAAGGTGCTACGACAGGAAAAAAAACCATAATGAGATGTAGTATTATTTTACAAATCCCTGCTCCTGTTTTCTCTTTTCATTCATAATACGTAAAATTAGAAAACGGTTTAAACAAAAGCGATATTTTAAAATGACGTGTAATGCATTGTCTTTATAGTTGCTTTATTTTTATGCAAGGCAACCTGAATTTGACTTGTTGTGCTTTTTTGCTACTCATACAAAAATTAACATGGATTTTGTGTTTTGCACCTTAACGTACTGGTTACAACCTTGGCTTAAAAACAAGGCTGTCTTTTCAAGGTTACTGGAGATATTTCCATTATTCTGTTTAAAATTGCTTAGCGTGCGCTTTTTCCTAGGGTAACAGAAACCAACCTGAAATGAAACTAGTCTTTAAAAAATTCATTGTTCTCTGTAGTTGCGGCAGTACCTGAAATAAAAACGTTATTGATGACCAAATTTTGTTGTGTGTATAGTTGGCGAGCTGTATTAAACAGGGGGAAAAAGAAATTACTTGTATTTTCTTCACTCTGTGCTTTGAAAACATCTATTTGATTTCACCCCCCATCTGTTGTAATCAATAACCTGACCATCTTGTTTTTTATTAAATGCACTTACTCTTAATTTCATCCACCAGTGGTTTTAGAGAGAATAATGTGGAGTTACCTATATGGCTTTGACATTATAAATCACTTCTTGGGGCTGAATCGTATAGTGGTATCGATTGATCCTGATATATCACAGAAATTTACTGTCACTTCTGTTTTCAATTAAAGATACAATCAGTCAGATAATGACTTAATTGGATTTTACAGAAGATTGAGTTTTATTGCCCAGTGCTTTACGAGTTTAGTTAAGGAAGATCATTTTATCACCCTTGTCAGCCTGCTACTGCAAGCCGGGTGCCCTTCTGCTGCCGCTCACTGCTGTTGCCATTGTGACAGACGCAGCCCGGTTGGAGCAGAGGGCAGGCAAAGAATAATTCTGGGACGGAGGATAGATATTGTGCCGGGTACCAAGACCAAGAGAGGCAACCGCTACCGGCAGATGGGATTCACTACTCTCACCCCCTCCCCTTACTTTCTTGCAATGTCTAAATTGTTCTTGAAATATAGTTTGGTAATTTACAAGGAGAGACCTGCACTGGGTCTCTAGCCCTCTTGTTCTCCTCCTTTCCCCACAACCTGACTCTCTGTAGCAAGGCAAGGAAAATGGAAGGATTGTGACCGCTAGCATTGCATGCTTCACAGCAGATACACCAGCAAGCAATGTGGAAGAGGAGCTTACTAACACAGGCATACCCCTCCATTCTGAGCAAGAATTGGGGGAAATTCCTATTTAAGAGAAACACAACTCACAGTATTCTGTGGTTGGGGGATTCTTGGAGCTGTAATCCAACAGATATATTTCTCAAGCGACACTCTTCATCCTTACAAGACTGTTGATGCAAGACCTTGTGTCTGGTAATTAAATACATTTTTAAAACTTCCATAGATGCTCATGGACTTAAATGGAAGGGAAATCATTTTGCCATTAGTAACAAATGCAATGGAAAAAAACTAAAATAGAAACACAACCTAAATTTCATCAGTCCTTCATTTTCAGTGTGGGTGGGGATGTGTGATCCTTGCAAAAGTGGGGAAACTGATTTTAAAATATTTAAACCAGTTTAAGAATCCTTAGATCCTTCTAAACAACTCTGGTGGAAGTTGACCATAGAATTATACTGGAAGACCTAGAGCAGTGTTTCTCAACCTGTGGGTCGAGACTCATAGGGGGGTTGCGAAGGGTTGTCAGAGGGGTCACCAAAGAACATCAAAAAACAGTATTTTTTGTTGGTCATGTGGGTTCTGTGTGGGAAGTTTGGCCCAATTCTATCCATGGTGGGGTTCAGGATGCTCTTTGAACTATAAATCCCAGCAACTACAACTCCCAAATGACAATATCAATTCTCCCCCAACCCCACCAGTATTCAAATTTGGGCATATCGGGTATTTGTGCCAAATTCGATCCAGTGAATGTAAATTCATCCTGCAGATCAGATATTTACATTACAATTCATAACAGTACCAAAATTACAGTTACGAAGCAGCAATGAAAAAAAATTGTGGTTGGGAGTCACCACAACATGAGGAACTGTATTAAGGGGTTGTGGCATTAGGAAGGTTGAGAACCACTGTTCCAGAGGTTCCAAGAAAGAACATATTAATTAAATCTGCAAAAATGAAACCCATAAATGTGGAGGGCCAACTATACATCTCCTCTCCAAATGTATTTCTCCTTAAAAGTATTTTGAGAATTTTCAATGAAAAAATTGAAATGAGATTTATGATAACCAGAACAATAGGAATTATATTCTCATCTTCACCTATCATGAAGTTCTGTCCAATCTGACATATAAATACATACATTTCTAGCAAAGGATGGTATACTTTTCACAATATACCCTGCTGTATTTGTCATAGTTTTTGTTACTCTTAAATTCTCATATTTGACCCATACGTATCTGGCTAAAGTCCCATTTAATCCTGTCTTTGGAAACTTGTACCTGTTTGCATAGGTGCACACTACTTTTTGATAATTTTTTTTGTTCCCATTGTTTTCAGTGACAGAACTGGACTGCACAGTATAAATTCAGAACTAAGGCTAATATAAATAGGTGTGAAATGATATTAATGCACGTGTGTGTGTGTGTGTGTGTGTAGAGAGAGAGAGAGAGAGCTTTTCCATAAATCGTTCAAATGCATAAAGGTACAAGAAACAGAAAAAAGAGAAAAAATAGATCAGAGGAACTGTTGACTGTTCAAAATATAATGCAATTTTCAGTTCAAATACAGTACACTTTCGTTACAGTACACTTTAGTACTAAAGTACACTTTAGTACTAAAGTACACGTTAGTACACTTTAGTTTAGGACTTCAGCTCCCACAATTCCTAACAGCCTACTGGCTGGAATTGTGGGAGTTGAAGTCCAAAACACCTGGAGGGCCAAAGTTTGCCCATGCCTGTTCTAGATACAGATATAAGTAGAACAGGGTACCAGTCATATCTACTGATCAACATGTGCAGTATTCACAACAGGTATCAATATACATGAAAGGTAGTGCTTGATTCAAGGGTGCTTACCTTTCATTCTCTCTGATAGTAACTTCAAGCCAGTTTAGCTGGCATAGCCAATGGAAAGGGGATGCAATTCAACAACTCCCACCTCTTCAGCTCTACTGGAACAGGTTTAAAGATGGTTAGTTTTTCAAAAACCTTGAACTTAACTGGGAGGAAGATCTTGGAGTCCTCGTGGACAACAAGTTAAACATGAGCCAACAATGTGATGTGGCGGGAAAAAAGCCAATGGGATTTTGGCCTGCATCAATAGGAGCATAGTGTCTAGATCTAGGGAAGTAATGCTACCCCTCTATTCTGCTTTGGTTAGACCACACCTGGAATATTGTGTCCAATTCTGGGCACCACAATTCAAGAGAGATATTGACAAGCTGGAATGTGTCCAGAGGAAGGTGACTAAAATGATCAAGGGTCTGGAGAACAAGCCCTATGAGGAGCGGCTTAAGGAGCTGGGCATGTTTAGCCTGAAGAAGAGAAGGCTGAGAGGAGATATGATAGCCATGTATAAATATGTGAGAGGAAGCCACAGGGAGGAGGGAGCAAGCTTGTTTTCTGCTTCCTTGGAGACTAGAACTGGAACAATGGCTTCAAACTACAAGAGAGGAGATTCCATCTGAACATGAGGAAGAACTTCCTGACTGTGAGAGCCGTTCAGCAGTGGAACTCTCTGCCCCGGAGTGTGGTGGAGGCTCCTCCTTTGGAAGCTTTTAAGCAGAGGCTGGATGGCCATTTGTCAGGGGTGATTTGAATGCAATATTCCTGCTTCTTGGCAGAATGGGGTTGGACTGGATGGCCCATGAGGTCTCTTCCAACTCTTTGATTCTATGATTCTAAGAGTGTTTACCTGGCTCTGCCATGTTTTTGCTTCGCATTAGGGGTCCTCAAATTAAGGCCTGAGGGCCGGATACAGCCCTCCAAGGTCATTTACCCGGCCCTTGCTCAGGGTCAACCTAAGTCTGAAACGACTTGAAAGCACACATCAACAACAACAACAATCCTATCTCATAAGTCAAAAGCAGACCCACATTTCCCATTGAAATACTAATAAGTTTATATTTGTTAAGATTGTTCTTCATTTTAATTATTATATTGTTTGTAAGGGGTTTTTTTGCATTACAAATAAGGTATGTGCAGTGTGCATAGGAATTAGTTCGTGTTTTTTTCAAATTATAATCCGGCCTTCCAACAGTTTGAGGGACTGTCACCTGGCCCTCTGTTTAAAATGATTGAGGACCCCTGCTTTACATGGTTGAGGTACAGCTGACTCAATTGTACCTTGTCAATATGCAAAGCAAATCAGGTTTGGGGTGTTATGGAAGGCCAATAAACAGTCAATATGTTATGGTTATATTTTTATTGCTTGTGATAAACAATTATATGAAATATTTTCTGCCTCTGGTGCCAGGATAATTTGGTGCCATAAGATAGTGAAATACCTTGATTGGAAAGGGTCATCATTTCCTACTCTGCCGCAA